AATGCTACCAGGGTATGAAACAGGAATACCAGATGCTTAAAGCTGGTGACAAATGTGTCTTTACCATTACAACCACACGGCAACATTTTCTACACAGAACTCTTTATCAGTGCCTCCGTTCCTTTAACACGAAGTCCATTTACTCGAAACTTAATTTACATATGGGTTGTGTGGAGTATTGGCTTAAGTCGTCACTCGTGTGTGCATGAAGGAGGTAACGCAATAATGGCCGCCTGTCACAAACTCATTGGGGCGCACTTTTTGCTGTACAGTCGGCTAAAATAGGAAGTAATTGGGTTTGAATTTGTCGAAGTTCGTTTGGGTTTGTTGAATGCAACGTAAAGTGGGTTGATTGCAAATATGCAGCATCGTTGGTTGGGTGTTGACACTATGGTAGTCTTAACTTTATTGGATCGGATAAATAACATGACATAACATCACGCCTTTTATCCCCGAAGGGGTAGGCAGATGTCGCGGAGAACCTAACGGGTAACCGGGGCTCCGGCTCGACGTGCAGGAGAAGGAACGGGGTGGTTTTTAGTCAGTAAGAGTCTGACACTCCCTTCCGCCTCACCCAGGCGGGAGCAGTCATTCGATGATTTTCCCCCCTAAAAAAAAAGGGGTAGACAGAGGTACACATTACGGCACTTAATGCCACTGTACAATGTAACACCCACTTTTCACTATTTATATTATGAATCCCATGTAATAGGGGTTGAGCGTGCTACTACTGAGGTTTTTACAAACCCAGTAATACTTTGCACGACTCGGGAATCGAACTCGAGACCCCTTGCCCGGCAGTCACGCTTGCGACCACTCGGCCAATGAGGCAGTCGATCGATCGGATCAATAATACATAGTAAGTTAGGATTTTCAATAGGTAAATGGCGATAGACTCGTCTATACAACAAAAATATAAATAAGGGTGACATCATTTGAGACGGATGTACACAATTTACAATTTAACCTGTAAATTATTAGCAGTACCACGACACAAAATTGTATACCTTTAAAAATACCTTATTATAAATAATAAATGAACGATCGAACGTTTTAACCAATGATATTGCAAGAAAAAAGTTGTAACAAATTACATTGAATACAAGCGTCAAGTAACGCTTTACATTTTATTCCACAGTATCTTTAACTCGCTGACTATACCATTACGTATTCAAAACACGCTAGCACACTAAACAAACAGACGGCACTTAGGGACAAAGATATAGCTAAAAAGTCAATGTCCCTATCCTCTTAATTTGGTCCCTTTCGGATCGACTCTCCTTTGGACCTCACTTGAATCCAGACAATTTACTTACCCAACAATATTCCAGTCACAAGTCTCGCTACAACTGAATTTTTAGAACATTCGCGTTCAATGTTAAGTATCGAGTTGAATTTTAAATATTTATTGAAACTTTTTACTTGTACATAGCTACTTAGAATACAACGTGATGGACCAAATATATCAACTTCATAGGCGACACTACGAATAGGAATACTGTAAAATACTTTCGTTTAATTTGGTAATCAAAGCCTCTTGTTCAACTTTGGCACTTAGGATCATTGATACACAAACTATTGTTGAATACACCATCGATTTTCATATCCCTAAACATGTACCGATAAATTTTGGAGTACAATAAAATATTTGTCTGCACTATTAGAAAAACAGAAAATTTTAAATTAAAAAAAACAATAGTTACCTACTCAAAACAAACAGCAAACAGTTTTTAGCACAAATCTTATTAATATTCCTACATTATTGCTTGAATCCAATTCGGAATTGCATGTAGTATATTTGCACAACTGTGCATATAAATTGTGCAGATTTATGAGTGCACAATTTATCTGGGATTCAATCTTGTATGCATATTGCACAGTTCGTTTAATCAACACTACGGTGTAATAAATTCTGGTATTGTAATATATTCGGTGCTGGCGAGACCAAACTTTAATACAGTAAAAAGCTTGGAGTCTTTTCAGTACTCTATTTATGTGCTTTAATATTTTAAATACACATACTTAATAATTATTTTTTGCGTGGACATAGTAAAAGTATTGTACATATTAAACAATGTACATATCCCGTGGACTTTTAAACTAGACCTTCAAAACGGGCTGGGCAACAACGCTTTCCAATAAATATTAAAATTGTGAATTTTAAATAACTGCTTTCCTGCCGCAGAAGTATTTGTGCTTACTAGTATTATTAAAATATACAGTTTAATACAATAGATAACTTTATATAAAAATTTGAAAAACACTTTTGATACTAGTTTTCATTAAATCGATTTTTCGCCAGGAAATTACTTCGCGGTCAGTCCAGTCCCTTACAAAACACTTTATTTGATATTTCCTTTCTCTATTTATTTTACAAAACAAAAAAATATAGATCGATTGCACAACCAAGACAAAATCATTAAACCACAACGAAATAATAAAATATAGCAGTAAAATATGTACAATGTCATTCTTCAACAACAAAGCTCCGAAGAATCATTTACAGGGATGAAATGAACAAAGGGACCTTATAAGATTTCTCATAATTCCACTACAAAGAATAATAAAGACAAAAGGCTACCAATCATAAGTACTTACAGAATGAAATATAGATTTTTTAATAATATGTTTTTGTCAAAATAATAGATCTTTTCTTCAAATAGGCTTATCTTTCTTTTAATAGTCAGGGTACTGTCATTATTTTAAGAACTGTTTAGTTTGAAGGCTTCGTATCATCACTACATAGTGTAAAACAAAGTCCGCTATCCGCCGTCTGTCTGTCCCTATGTATGCTTAGATCTTTAAAACTAGAGAGACTATACAACGAATTTCGATGTGATTTTTTATAATAGATAGAGTGCTTCTTAAGGAAGGTTTATATGCATAATAAATGCATATTGGACCCGTGCGATGCCGGGAAGGGTCGCTAGTAACTGATAACTGATAATGTAACAATCATATTAAGATATTTTCTACTTCATACGTCTCAGGTAACGAATTTGATTCTTCCTCTTGGTTCTTAATATATGCGATAGGTATATCTACCTAGAAACTTATACCTATAACGTATCTGTGAGGATACATAGATACAAATTTAATCTATTACATATTAAGGTACCTACACCTTGATATTTACGTACATAATTTCTGAGAAGACAATAAATAAAAACGCATCCAAAGATTTTTACGATAATGTTCAAAGAGGAATGAATTCTCTCCAAAATTCTTGTTTTGAACACCTCAATTTTATGAGCCACTCATCTTACGATGGACATTCCGATATGAATTTTATTTTTGAACTGTAAGTACGATTTTTGTTTATCTAGTCCACGTTTGTACGAAATAAAATTGTTCTACTTCAGTTGCCATACAATTCTTAGATTACGCAACGCGTATATCATTTCGTCGTTTGTGTCGTGGTGACCAGGAAGTTTAAGACGCCCACTTCTCATGCCTGAAGGTGCGGGTTCGAAACCTACCAACGGCAAATACCAATGTGACTTTTTCCGAGTCATATGTTTACTTTCTAAGATTATCTAGACACTACTGACAAAAGAAAAATAAAAATATCGTGAGGAAACCTGGGCTTGTAATTTATAATTATAAGTTTGTAATCGCCAACTCGCATTGAGCAAGCGTGGTGGTTAATGCTCAAACCTTCTTCGTGTGAGAAGAGGCTTTGCTCAGCTGTGGGCATTTATAGGCTGTTGATGATATCATTTTGGTTTCATATTTTTATCTTGTTTAAAACAAAGTTTGAAAACCTATGCTTCATATTTAACTTACTGTAGGAAGGGTATTGTTACTACTTGATTACCTAGTCAATTCTAACTCCTTCATTTAAAAGCTAGATTGAGAAATCCACCATTTACAAAGTCATTAGAACTATGCCTAAATACAGTTACTTAAGGCTTGGAGTAGAGTTTTTAAAAATTATTATCAGTAGTAGTATTCATTGTACAGAGGTATGAGTTATGGTCGACAGTGATGCATAATGTTTTTCCTAACTTTAATAGAAAAAGGGATTGCATCTAATTGCATCTTGAGACCAAGATATAAATTTTTTTAAGGGCTGCAAATGGGTGAGGCCGGAGGGAGTGTCAGACTCTTACTGACTAAAAACCACCCCGTAACTACTCCTGCACGTCGAGCCGGAGCCCCGGTTACCCGTTAGGTTCTCCGCGACGATAGAAAAAGGGATAGAGTGTAATAGTAATGATATATATAATTTGATGTTCCTAATATTTATTTGAATACCTGGGTTGGAAGATCCCACTATAATGACAACAGAAATAGGTTGCTATGACAAATATTTCATTAATAGATTTTCAACTTCTAATCAAATACGATCCCTATAAAATCATCATTTTACAATCTTTATATATAAATATCACTATTTTGTGTTCTATTTCCTTTTTTGTGAATATTCTTAATTGGGTACTTGCCAACTAGTCAAATATAATACTTTTTTCGAACTGTCAAAAACGACAGTTTTCTATGAATTTTGTAGGAGAATGTGTATTATGACGTCACGTTTTTTTAGCGTCAAACAGCATACTTATTTATTAAAAATTAGCTAGAAAAATATTAAAATTAGGTTGGTCATAAAATCAATTAATGAAAGTGTGATTATTTTTTTTATATTTTATTGTAGTGAACAGTCGAAATAATTTATTTTTGATGAAGGGAAATCAAAGTTTATTTAATTTACCATCTTCAAAAATCTAATCATTGGCTGTATCAAAATAGCATTAAATTAACATAATAATCAAAATCATTTGGCATCACTTGTAAATAGATATTTCTAAATTCTTTAAAACATACATGAAAATATAACTTTACTAAATACGTAACATGAAAAATAAACATTTGTTGCTGACCTCCCTTGGGGTAAAACAAAAAAGGGATACCTTGTAACAACTTTTCTTACCAGACCAGAACCTCTTTAGTGAAACTCCAAACTTTTTTATTATATTTTTTAATTCTTTTTCTTTTTACAGGTAACACGCTGTAGTGATCTCCGTTCGAAGTAAAAATAAGGCAGTGTCTACATTAGTGTTTCGATCTTTATAAAAGGACTTTAAACATAAGGGTTGTTGAAAGTGTGAATTATGCCTAATTTTATCATCATATTATATTTTTTGTATCATTTTTGAATCTAATTTATTAATGCATGTCAATAGCTGTTATATTTTAAAGACTTATAGATAAGAATGTTAGTCATGTAGTTCTATTATTGTGTAAAAACTTCCTTATTCATATGAAATATGAAATTGCCGTAGTATATGTATGTAAATAGAGTATTTAAGTATACGAAAAATGTACAGGATAGCCAAAAACGTAAGTATATTGTAAATACAGTGTTAAACTAAGAATAAAAGTATTTACGTCAATTATGTAGTTCTAAAATGAACTTTGAGCCCATTGACGAAAGTACTTTTTTCTATAAACGTATAGTCATTAGATATAGGGTGTTCTAAGTAGAAATGTGTTATGCTAAAAATATTTTTGTAATGTAAAAAAAAAAAAATATTAAAATGTAAATAATATGCAAAATGCCTTGTAAGTAACGTCAATGGATAAACTACGTGCAATTCGCTGTCATTATATTTAATAAAGTGTACCAAAGATTCGTGTCCATTTTATTTGTTTTAAATTCCTTACTAATAAAATGTTCTGATGTTTCGAAGATATTTTCAGACAACTACATTCGTATTCATTAGGTTTTGGGTTCGATTCCCACTATCATCACATTTTTTCCATAGTACAAAGCACACATAACAGAACATCACACCTTCTATCTCCGGAGGGGTAGGCAGAAATGCACATTTTTTATGGCATAAGCCGGTAAACGAGCAGACGGATCACCTGATGGAAAGAAATCGGTGTCGCCCATTGACATCTGGAACACAAGTGCTTTACCGGCCTTTTGGGATTAGGAGTTTGAGGATCGTTGGGGATTCAGGAATTGGGGAGACTGGGGAAGGGGAGGGTAATTCGGCCTCCAGTAACCTCACTCACACGACGAAACACAACGCAAGCGTTGCTTCACGTCAGTTTTCTCTGAGGCCGTGGTATCACTCCGGTCGAGCCGACCCATTCGTGCCGAAGCATGGCTCTCCCACTTTGTATTATTAGTACTTACTACTCAGTTACTGTACTTACTAACTTGGTTATTGTAACCAAGTTATTACAAACAGAAAAAATAATAAATTGAACTATTGTACCATTACAATAATACAGGCATCTTAAATTTTTTCAAAAACCTTCACTTCTTAAGTCGTAAAAAAGTTTTAAAATTAATAATCTTTAAAGCAACCATTCAAACACCTACTTTCCGCTTAAGATGCAGTAACATTTAAACTTATTCCATTTTAGAATACAGGTATCGAAATTCAAATATTTGAATACAGAATTTTGAATGTAGAACTTTGAAATTCTAGAATACAATCATGACAATCGGATAATTATGCTGTCTGAATAAATTCGAATTTAGAACGAACAGATTGAAATTTAATATCGTCGTTTATGGTAAGCCAGATTTTAGTAGAAATATTGTTCCATGTATTAGTAACGACTAAAGTGAATTGATTTTTAGGCAGAATAAGAGTTATTTTAAAATTAGTGATTCATATAAATG